GTGCTTACACTGTCTCTGATGCATGTGCTTATGTGCATGATGTGTTTTGTCACTACTTAGGACATGTGGTTCTGTGCATGGTGGTTTTATGATGACTTGTCACTACTCAGAACATGTGGCTCTGTATGTGCATGTTGCATCCCTGTTACTACCTGCATCCTGCTTTCTGTTCTTCTTCCTTCTACCCTCTGTTGGTGGCTTCCTTCCATGTACAGTTGTCCACACTGCGCCCTACGTGTAGCACGTCTCTACTCGCAGATGTCTGACGTGATTCCCTCCCTGCCTGATGGTACTCAGAGATGCTGCCAGCTACTTGGACACATCGTCAAGGGCATTCTCGTCTTTCGTATCAAGGTGCTGTTTGTTTTTTGTCTCGCCTGGGCCAGCACCTGGCCATGCGATTCCTCCCATGACGAGCGAGGCAGGGTAGATCGCATTCCATCCCTGAACATCAGGGTGGATCGCACTCCATTGCGGAAGCTTGGGATTCGTTCGTGATTCTCCTCCTCCTCATCGTCCTGCTCCCCCTTCGTGCGTGTGTGGAGTCACGACCTGCTCCGTGACTTCCTGTGGCTTGGCAGCAGCACTGGACCTGACTGTGCGATTCATCCCAGCCACACGGTGGGGCTCGCAAAGCGGATCGAACATGGCCCAAATTCACGAGTACCTGGCCCTTTCGGCGAGCAGGCAGGCTAAGAGCCTCGCCCTACCACTCTCCACTCGTGAGAATTGGTGGGAAATGACAAATGCGTCCTCTGCACATAGAAGGCGGCAAGACATTCCCACCATTTTGGCGTTTTGCAGAGTGGCGGAACGAGACCCAACAAAGCTGGTCGTTTTGACACAAACAGGGACGAACAACCCGTCGTCGTCTTATGCTGTGTCCAAGAAGAGTCTGGCTCTCCTGCGACCCCGATCTCCTCTGCTTGGTCCCTATCGTCATCATGGCCAGGTGCGGTCACAACGTGGCTTCCTATCCTTGGCTGCGCGCCGGACTCCTTGTTCACAGTTACCACCGCGGAGACCCAGCTTGCCTGGGAAGGGGTCGGACCATGGGCAGGGGTACACATTGCAACTGCGCCGCCGCCGTCCGAGGGTTGCGACCTGCAGCATGTCGCGAGCTGGTGTCATTGATTTGGACTCATTTGGCCAGGAGCCATATATCAAACTTGGCGAGTGTATGATCGTTAACGTCCCACCTGCGTCAGGGACCTTCGTTGGCATCATCCACTTTCTTGGGGGTGTCTTCGTCTCTGCTGCCCCCGACCTCTCCTACAAACTCCTCATGCAAGGGCTTGCTAAGGACGGTTACTTAGTCATCACAACACCTTACACTGCTACCTTTGATCACGCCGAATGTACCAAGCAAGTTCAGAGAAAGTTCGTCAACTGTATCGACTTGCTGGCGAGCTCTCCCGTCCTGTTGCCAGGTGGCATCTCCTCGTCAGACGTCGTTCCCCAGCTGCCAATCTACGGCGTAGGCCACAGCAATGGCGCTCTCATTCACGTGCTGATGAGTTGTCTTTGCACGGGGTTAGCATCACCAGACCTTAACAAGGCAAATGTCCTTATCTCTTTCAACAACAAATCGGCCTCAGAGGCAGTGCCCAGCTTCGACCAGGTTGGACCCGCCGTGGCGGGTTTGTCTGCAATGATCGAGGCATCCCCGTTCGCAGATTTGGCACGCAGTGTAGGTAACGAAGCGGGCAGAGCTGCAATGCAAGCTGCCACCTCAGCGGCAATGTCCTTGTCCCCATTCACACGTGGCATTCAACAGATTGACCAGGGGTTCCAACCGCTGCTGCAGCTGAGCGAGCAACTGATTCCCGTAGTTAAGGAGATAACCGACGGAGTGTCGGAGTTTACACCGAGTCCTAGCCAGAATCGTGAGGCCATATCAAGGTTCTACAGTGTGAAGAAATCTCTGCTGGTGAAATTCACCGTGGACGGGCTTGACGAAACGCCCACATTGGAAGAGTTGTTGAGAATGCGGGCGCGGGTGACCAATGGGTCTGTGGAGGTCCGCGAGCTACCGGGAACACACATCACGCCTCTAGCTCAGGACATCACTTGGAGATACTCAAGTACAACCACTCCACTGGAAGCACTCGCTGACGCGCTGAGGGATGCAGCCATCAGGGACTTAAGACTCCTGAAAGACACCATTGTACATTGGCTGGCTACGGTTTGATCAGACTTTGATCGATTTCTGAGGAGAAAAAAAAAGTGCCTTTGTAAACATTCCATTCGAACTACTTCAGACAAAATTTAGTAACACCCACCGTTGATGTACGGACCTAAGTTCGCATCTGGATAGAGTCGGATTAGGAAAATAACTCTGAAATTACCTGGGCCCGGTCAGTGCAACGATGATAAGTCAAGGCCGGACAAAAAGAGACAAAAGTAACGAGAGGTCTCCTACATCATACATGAAGCCACTTTATGCTTGACAATCATCTATGCAGTATGATCTGAACTTTTCTGCTCACGGGGTTCGAAGTCAGTCAGCTGTGGCTATATTAGATTAAATACACCTGCCCTCGACCTACCTGGTTCCTGAATTCCCCACAGGAGGGAGATAGATAAATGGACAGATCCACACACACACACACACACACACACACACACACACACACACACACACACACACACACACACACACACAC